CATGCCCAGAGCCTGGCACCCACACTCGGCGGCAGCACCCACCAGCCAGCGGGGTCTAAACCCTCACGGGCTCCCTGGGCATCACCTTGGTACTTGTGAGGGGTGCCACATGCCTTCCAGGGACCTGCTGCAGGGATAGAACCGGGACAGTTCCAGCCCAGCGTCCCTGCTGCAGGGATAGACACGGTTCCTGGCTCAGGCTGCTGGCGGTCCCGGCTCTGCCAGGCCCTGACCCCCTCTATGCAGAGGGCAGGAGGGGGCGGCCGCAGACCCCTCGTGCCCCAGCTCACTGTGACGTCCCGCTGTGGGACCCAGGGCCACGCGCGCGGCTGGGCAGCGCCAGCCTGCGGCATGTGCTGTGTGTCTGTGCTTGGTTCGTTTTTAATATGTGGAAAATGTGAATTGTGTCCGGGAAAGGGGAGCTGGGAACAGCTTCCCCTGCGCTGGGTGGGCAGGGACACCCCCGCGGCCCCATGTGCGTGTGCAGAAACGTCAGTTGTTTTTATATAAAGTCCTTCAGACACGTGTGTGTGCGGCAGGGCTGAGTGCCTTCCTAGGGCAGAGCCATCCCAGTTGGCCCCGTGCAGAGGAGCCGTGCCTGACTCTCACTGCAGTCAGATGAAGATCTGCCCACGGCTTCAAGGGGGGCCAGAGGACTGTGCTGGCCATCAGATGTGTGGAGTCCCCTCCTGATGTGCCTGGCTGAGCACTGGGCCAGGGCACGCAGGGCCCTGCAGGGACAGTGGCTGTGTGCCCGGGGAGGGAGGCTGCCCGGGGCTGTGCCAGCGGTCCCTGTGACCTGCTGGCAGGCTGTCACTTGGGCTGTGCCTGGAGGCCCGTGCTGTGGCAGCGTGGTGCAAGCAGAGCAGGGAGTCCCTGTGCTGAGGGAGCGCAGAGCAATGGGGTGATGCCATCTTGGCACCATGAGAAACAGAAGGCAGAGGTGACCAGGAGTAAGAAAATTTGGTGCCTGGGGCTGGGAGGAGGGCATCCCCCAGCAGGAGAGAGGCTGTGACAGCCCGGTTCCCAGGACCACAGTGTTGTGCTGCATGTGGGACCCACTGCCTGTCCAGGGAGCATCAGGTCCTTGTCCCCATCTCACCTTGCCATGGGCAGACCCTGGACACTGCCAGCAGGACCCAACTCTGTGGTGGCTGAGGGGAGGCCTGGGTTTGTAGCACAGTGCTGCTTTTGAGCTCTCACACAACTGGGAAGCACTGGCAGTGCCAGGACAGGGCTGGGGGAAGTGGTGAGCTCCGCGCAGAGCTGGCGTGTCCAGGCAGGATTCCCCTGAGGGACCAGCACTGCCTTGCTCCCAGCTGGACCCATGCACTGAACTTCCTGCACAGCCTGTTCTGGGACATCAAAAAAACCACTGGAGGCATCGGCAGGTGAGCTGCCAGCAGACACAGCCCTGGGGCTGCAGGGGTACAGGCCTCGGCGGGCAGATATTGTCAGCACCGTGGGGCAGCGAGCTGGAAGGACTGGAAGGGCAGGAACAGGAGCCACTGTGTAAGAAACAGCCATGCCAGAGCCCTGAGAGCCATCAGCTGTTTTGCCCCAGGATGGGAGCTCTGTGGGGCCAGCAGGACCTCAGGCCCCACAGCAGTCCCAGCAGGGCCTGGCTGCAGGCCAGGGCAGAGCCCATGTCTGAACAAGGACAAAGGACCCTGGTGCTGCCCACAGTGATGGCACCACTCACCTGCCCAGAATTCCCCTTAGCGCCTCTGGCCTGAGTGTTGAGCTCTTTGTGCTGCCCAGAAGGATCCCAGTGTGGAGGAGGGAAGCCCACGGAAAGGGCTGTCGTGGAGCAGGATGTGGTATCTGTCCCCTGGAGTGGCGGCTGGCGCACAAGCAGAGAGGCCTGGCAGGAGCCCATGTCCCCAACACCCTCGTGGCACCCGTCCCACAGCCGGACAAAGGCAGCAAAGAGCAAGGGTGAAACCAGAGCCCTTTAATTGTGTCCTCACAGGGACTGGGGGAGGAAGAGGCCAGGGCGGCAGAGCAGCTGCTGCGCTGGAGCCAGAAGAGGGCAAGGAGAGAAAGGGAGGAGGAGGAGGAGGAGGAGGAGCGTGGGCTCTGAGCACAGCCATGGGGGGACAGCTTTGCTGTGGGGTGGCACCTGTACAGTGACTCTTGGGTGACTGCTCAGAGAAAGCACCCCCATTTGAGTTACTGCTTGTGAAAAATTAGCATTTTGGTTATTGCTCAGAGGATCCACATTTGAGTTACTGCTCAAAGAAATGGATCCATGTGGCAGCAGGGAGGCTCCCAGAAATACAGGAGAAGCAGGAAGAGGCTGGCAGGGGAGGCAGCTCCCTGCCTGTTGCTGGAAGGCACAACATAGGAATTGGTCCTGAGGACAGAGAGGAGTGTGCTGGTGCAGAGTGGCCCCAGGCAGGAGCAGGTCTTCCCCCCCCCCACCTGCAGAGCTGCCCTTGGAATGCATAAGGATTCAAATTCCAGTGCTAGGACAGCAGAGGGACTGCAGGAGAGGCATATTCCTGAGACCCCCTGCTGCCAAGCAGGCACCTGAGAGGGAAGCAGGAAGGTTCCTGCCCAAGGCATTGCAGCACAGCCAGGCCATCGAGGGGCTGGGCCTGTGCTCACTGAAAGAGGAAATGGCTGAGCCCACAAAGAGCTGCAGGAACTGGAGGAGTGCTGGAGGAGCTGGAGGAGTGCTGCTGGACAGCCATGGGACTCACAGGACAATCTTGAAGGAGCTGCAAGAGATATGACAAGATCTGTACCTGCTTGCTAGGTCACACAAAGGGTTTACAAGCACCCAGCGCTGTAGGGAGCAGAATCCCCATGCAGGAGACACTCTGTAGAGGCAGCCCGGGATGCAACTCCCTCTGCCAGACTTGGCACAGGGCAGCCCTGCCCTCCTGCCACCACTAGCTCTGCCCCAGTGCCAGCTGAGCAATCGGGGTGATGAACCCCCAGCCAGCCTCTGGAGACCACCACACCTGGCGAAGTCCGGGGAGCGGGAGACAACATGCTGGAATTCAGAGGAGTTGATGGTGCCGTCCTTGTCGATGTCAGACTCCTCCAGGATCTGTGGGGGAAGGTGAGCGGTGAGCTCTGTGCCTGGGGCTGTGCAGTGCCCCTGCCTTGGCCAATGCGCCTCACATTTTGGATGAGCTGCTCCATCTCTGCGCTGCTCAGCCGGGACTCCTCGCCTTGCCCTGTCAGGCAATTCACCAGTTGCTCCAGGTCCTTCCTGTCCAGAGTCCCATCATCATCAAAGTCTGGGGAGAGACAAGGTAGGTTTTGGCAGTGCCACAGTGAACCCAGAGAGTCACAAGCACCGACATTGCACCACCCCATGCACCTCCCCATGCCAAACCAGCTGTTCCCACAGGGAGTTCCTAAAGTTCCCGGTGGGTGCTCCAAGGGCACTGCCAGCCTTCCTGAACATCCATTCATCACCCTGCTCCTGCTTCCTCAAGGTGCAGGGATCCCAGAACACAGCACCTGTCCCCAGCCTTACCAAAGATGCGGAAGGCATACTGGGATTTGATGTCAGATGTGGCAGAATCGCTGAAGACACTCAGCATATCAAGGAAGTCTTCAAACGACATGCTGTCATCCCCAGTCTCTGAGGTTGAGAACACATGGCAGATCCGGTGCTGGAAGGGGTTTGCCTGTAGACACAGGAATTGCTCAGGCAGGGCTGGGCCATGTTGGCTCCATCAGGCACACATTGGCTGTGGCTGCTGCTCCAGCAGGTGAGCAGGTGCCCCAGTGCCACTGCTCCATCACCCATGGTCAAAGCTGTCCTGTGTGCCTCCCGGGATGCAGCCCTATGCAGCAGGGATAAACAGTGGGATCCTGTGGCACAGCAGGGATCCCTAGGATCCTCAGTTGCTCGGTGGGGACAAGGAAGCTCTTTATTGGCACAGCTGAGGACAGGACAGCGGCCGTGGTGGGTGCACGGGGCTCTAACCCGGGAGCATCAGTGTCCCGTGTGTGCCAGGCACCATACCCGCAGCTCAGGCAGCGTCAGGATCTGGCTCTTGGGAACCCGCGCGGAGTAGGCGTTCTCCCTCTCCTCCTTTGGCAGCAGTTCACTGAACCTCTTGTAGGCACTTTAAGAGGCAAGAAAAAGAGCGGCTCTGTGGTGCAAGCGGGGTGGGAGCAGCCCGTCTGGGCACCGGCCGCGCTTCTCCGGGGGGATTGGCCCGTTCCCACAGCTCCTGCCAACTCTGCCGGGCTGGAGCGTGCCGGCCGGGGGTCCCACGGCTGCTCCCGGGACCAGGGAGAGGAGCCACTCTGTCTGCTGCCCACCCCGGGGGCCGGGGCTCCAGAAGGGTCACCGCGGGCTCGGGCCGGCCCCCAGCCCCTTGCCCGCCGCTCAGGGCGTCACCGGCCCGGCCCGCGCCACCGGCAGCACCCGCCGACCTTCGCCCCATCATAACCGGCTTTTAGGGAGTGCCACCGGCACTTCCCGGCTCAGCTGGGCGTCTCGGCGGAACGGGAGCCCCGGGGCAGGGCCGGAGCTCCCCGTGCCCCGCGGCAGAGGCTGAGGCCCCGCGGGACCGGGCTCGCCGGGGGCCAGGGTTCGCGCCTCCATCCCGCCCCACTTACGGTATTCCGGCCGGCGGTACTTACAGCAAGATCTCCTGCTTGCTCAGGAACGTCAGCTCCTGCGGGGAGAGCACGGGTCAGAGCACCGGCACCGGGGCCAGCGCCGACAGGGGGCCAAAGCCTCGCGCGGGGCACCCCAGCCATGGTTTCCATGGCCTCTGGGCACCTTCTGCCCCGGGACCGCGCCGCCCTGCCGTGCCCCCGCTGCAGCCGGCCTCTGCCCCGGTGCCGGTACCTGGTACTCGGCCAGCAAGTCCCGCGGGATCAGACTGGCCGAGCCGCCCATGGCACCGCTTTCCTCCGCACGTCACTCGCCCGGCCCGGGCGGGGCAAACACACCCACACGTACAGCCCCGCCCGCCCGGACACACGGCGGGCTCTCGGCGCCGCCGAACGCGGACACGAGGGCGATGGCGGGAGGGGAGCCGGGCGAGCCGAACCCGGAGGAGTTCGTGTATGGCGAGGAGGACTTCGTGCTGCAGGCAGCCGGCTGGGGCGACCCGGACTCCGCGCCCTCCCGGTTCGACCGGGTACTGCTGGCGGGCTGGAGCGACCGTATGGAGCGGGGACTGTTCCGGTACCGGCTGGGACCGCTGCCCACCCGCGTCCTGCCCGGCCCCGTGCGCCTCGTGGCGCAGCTGAACGAGCAGCGCAGCGCGGAGCGCCGCCCGCCGCAGCCCGTCCGCAGCCTCCGGGATCCCTTCGACCCCGGCGCCTTCAACTTCACCCGGCTGCGCCCCGCCGAGCTGCTGTTCCGCTTACGCCGCACCGGAGGCCCGGGATCGCCACCCGACCCGCTGCTGGTGGCCATCAACGCCAGCCCGTTGGAGCGGGGACACGTCCTGCTGCTGCCGGAGCCGGCGCGGCGGCTGCCGCAGATGCTGACGGTCCCGGCGCTGCGCGGAGCGCTGGAGGCGGCGCTGCTCAGCGCCCACCCCGGATTCCGCGTGGGCTTCAACGGGCTGGGCGGCGGCGCCTCGGTGAACCACCTGCACCTGCACGGACTCTACCTGGACCGGTCGCTGCCGCTGGAGGAGGCGCCGGCCGAGCCTCTGGGGCCGCGCCTGGGGCTGCTCCGCGCCGGACCGGCCCCCGCCTTCCTCTTCTTCGCCCCCGGCCCCGCGGCGCTGGAGCCGGTGTCGCGGGCCGTGTGCCGGGCGGCGGAGCACCTGGGCGGTGTCGGGCTGGCCTGCAACGTGCTGGCCACGCGGGGAGCCCCGCCGGCGGGGCCGGGGGCCGGGGGCGGCCGCGGGCTGCGGGTGCTGCTGTGGGCTCGCCGGCCCCTCTTTGGCCCCAAGGCGGGTGAGCCCTTCGCCGTGGCGTTGTGCGAGCTGGCGGGGCTGCTGCCGCTGCCCGCCGAGCCGCTCTACCGGGACATCACCGAGGTGCAGGCCCTGAGCGCCATCCGCCAGCACCTGCTGCCCGAGCCCGAACTGCTGCACCTGGGCTCGGAGCTGGCGCGGCTGCTGGAGAACTGAACGGGGGCACGGGCAGCGGCCGGAGCGCTGAACGGCCGGGCCGCCGCCGAGCTGAGGCACCGGCAGGGGCCGCTGCAGCTGGAGGACGCGGAAGTGGCTGTCACGTGACTGCGCGGAGCCGCTCTGCCCGCAGCGCCCGCGTCTCTATGGTGCGGTCGCCATGGGAACGCAGCGGCCCTGGCAGCGGTGCGATGGCGGCGGCGGACGGCGGCGGCGGGGGGAACATGGGCCCGGGCCCACCCCCGGGAACCCCTCCGGGCGAGGAGGCGGCTGGCGCCGCGGCCCTCCCGGACCGTCCCGCTGCCCCCACCGGACCCGAGCCACGGAGGAAGCGCAGGCGAGTGTGGGGCCGCAGCCCCCGGCAGGGTCCGGCTGGAGCCCATCCAGCCACTCCCGGAGGCGCTTCCCGCTGCCTCCCGCTTGGTCCCGGCCCCAGCCTAGCCGTGCCCCGGCCCCGCTGCTCCCCGCGGGACAGTGCCCAGCCGGTGCCCGGCGCTCCCCAGCCCCCGGGAGCCGGTTTGGGGTCCTGCTGACCCAGAATAAATAGTGTTCCCCTGGAATTGCCCCAGCGATCCCGTGTGACACAGCCAGGCACGGCTCCGTAGCCAGGACCAGCCTGTCTGTGTCCTTAGGGCTGCAGCGAACCGGGGCTGGCTTGGTCAGACTGCCCGCTGTGCTCTGTGTGTGTATGGGGGATCGGGGCTGTGTCCCCACTCTGCCCCGTGCCTCGCTGAGCTGCTGCCATCTCATCTCTATTCCAGTGTCCCCTCCATCAACCTGAGCGGCTGCAAGTACGAGAGTGGTAAGTCAGAGGGGCGGGGGGTCCCTGCAGGCTCTCCAGGTGCCTGCCCAGCCAGGAGCGGTGCTGGCACCCAGTTCCCACTGGTTTATTTACTGCTGCCAGTGACTGGCACAGGGTCCCTGCATTAGTGGGGAGCTTGTCACACTTAGGATTGAGATTTCTCCCCATTTAAAATGTGCAACAGCAGCGCAAGCCATCAACATCCCCCACACTTGCGTTTGCCAGCTGTCTGCTAAAACGAGCGAGAAGGGTTCCATCAGATACAGTGCAAGGGAGTACCTGGCCTTGGAGACAGGAGCTGAGGGTTGTCAACTGTTTAAGGTAAAGCTGGTGGTGAGCAGGCAGGATCTGTACCTGGAACCTGTCCCTGTGCTGTTCATCCCTGGTGACTCCAGGGAGCTCATCTACTCTCCCCTCCCACTCTTCTTTCCTTCCACAAGCTGGATCTTGAAAGAACAAACTCCTGGCCCTTGAGGGGTGTTATTAATCTACTTTACTACAGGATCTTGGTGTGCATGAATCTCCATCACCTCCCCAGCCCTGCCAAATTCATACTTGGCACTAGCAGGAACCATCCCAGCAGAGACCTTTCCCTGCTGAGCTGTGTTCCGCTGCTGAAAGACCTTTGATTTGGGAGATTAAATCCACATCTTTGCAAGACTTGTATCTGCTTGTGAGGTGTAAGACCCATGGGAAATTCAACCCTGCTGTTGAGAGGCCCTGGCACCTCAAGGCAGGTGGAATTAGAGGGTTAAGAGCTCCCAGAACACTTACAGCCAGAGGCTTGGCCAGATAAAACTGGTATTCCTGACACCTTCCAAGGGGTCATGTTTAGTATAAGGTTATATATAACCTTATATATTATAAGGTTATAATATATAATATCATACCTCTGAGAGGCGAACTGCAGCCCAAAGAGCTGCGTACTCCATCCCTTCCTATTTTGCGGGGGTGGCAGTCCCTGTGTGTGGCTCCTCAGCCAGAGATTTGTTTCACATTCCATCCCTGGTTATTCTGGGTGTTTATCAGTCCCTGTACGTGGTTCCCTTGCCTGGCCCCTGTCACTGCTTGCCTTGGCACAGTGCGGCGGGCGGCGCAGCACTGCGGGCTGAAGGAAGCAGGAGAAAATGAGGAGTGGACAGTGTACTGGACGGACAGCGCGGTCACTTTGGAGCGCCTCATGGAAATGAAGCGCTTCCAGGTAAACAAAACAGCTGCCCAGCAGGAATTGCTCAGGAAGGAGGGTGACACAAGGCTGTCTGTGCAACAGCACGTGGCAGAGTGAAACAAGCACCCGAAGCGGTGCCATGCACCACCTGTGCCTCAGCTCCAGGGCACAGGGTCCATGTACCATGTCCCTGGTGAGTGTCACCAGCAGCATTCAGCAGCTATGGGGGGAACAGGAGCGTTCCAGCCCTGTGATGTGCTGTGAAATAAACAGTTGTCGATGATAAATGGCTCTTACACTGCTCCAGGGCTAAGACTGAATAGACAGATAAATCACTAGTGAAGCTCAGATAAAGCAGCTGTAGCAAGTCTCACCCCGCAGCAGTAGTTCAAGACAACCACAGGCCTGGCTTCCTTCTTGCTGCTGGTTCTCCATGCTCAGGCTCTCCTCGGGGCTGGGAGAATCCATCCCCACAGGGCCTCCACCGATCTGGGTTTTTCTGCCCCACTTTCAGAAAATCAACCACTTCCCAGGCATGATCGAGCTGTGCCGCAAGGACCTGCTGGCTCGAAACCTGAACCGCATGCTGCGGCTCTTCCCCAAGGAGTACAACATCTTCCCCCGCACGTGGTGCCTGCCAGCCGAGTGAGTGGCACGGGACAGCGCCGCAGGGACGGGGTGACACAGGGAGGGGGAGGCTGCTCACCTGCTTTTTCTGGGCACCCGACCCCAAACCTTAACTTGCTTCAGCACACACCATGGTGACCTCTTCCGCAGACCTCCCAGTACAGGTGGAGATGTGTGCAAGGAAAAGGTGGGATGTGGAGACCTGGGTGAAGTCACGTGGGGACCGATCTGTGACTCCTGTAGATTAGGAATGGGGGTTCGATTCATCCCCTGCAGAAGTTCAGTGTGTGCTGGCCTGCAGCGCTATGGTTTCAGTACCCAGCTATTAGGAGAGAATTCAGAGGGGTGTGTTTTGCAGCTAGTGATAGTCACCCCTTCCTTGCACAGCTATGGAGATTTCCATGCCTACAGATCCATAAAGAAAACAAGAACATTCATCTGCAAGCCTGACAACAGCTGCCAGGGAAGAGGGATCTTCATAACCCACCATCCGGAGGAGATCAAGCACGGGGAACGCATGATCTGTCAGCAGTACATCTCTGAGGTACTGGGACAGTCCCACAACACTGGGGTAGGATTCCAGCCTCCTCACTCTGCCGGCATCCCCCATGCTCCTCGGGTCTCCTCAGGTCTGCTGGAGGTGCTGGTGTGGCTGTGGAACATCGGTGACACAGGCAAAGCACAGGCAGGTGGAGCAGTTCCTCACCTCACCCTTGCTCCTGCCTCTTTCCTCACAGCCCTTCCTCATCGATGGCTTCAAGTTTGACATGCGCATTTATGTGCTGGTCACGTCCTGTGACCCACTGAGGATTTTTCTCTACAAGGAGGGCCTTGCCCGGTTTGCCACCATGAGGTACATCGATCACAGCACGAAAAACCTGGTAAAAAGGAAGTTTCAAAAAAACTTATAGTATCTGTAGGTGTCAGTCCTTAACTTGTCCTGGGGGCACTCCTGGCCTTGAAAAGGCAGGTATTGGGGGTTGCAGGAGTCCCAGCTTGATGCCTTCCTGTTCCCCTATACCACTTCCTCCTCCTCACAGGAGATATTTCAGGAGGGATAGCAGATCTACCCCAGGGCCCCACATTTGGGCTGTTTACTGGCATCACCACAGAATTATGGAGTTGTTTGCTTGGATGGAACCTTGGAAGGTTTCTAACCTCATGCTCAAAACTTGATGAACAGTAAATTTGTATCTGGTTTCTCAGGGTCTCAGCCTGTCATGTTTTGAAAAGCTGCAGAATGAATCCCCTCTGGTGTCTCTGCTTCTAGCCCTGATAAGTGTGCTCAATTCCACACCATTTCTACTCTGCCCATGCTTCAGGCAGAAAATAACATGGGAGTATCTGGGGGGGGACTGTTCCTGTTCTTGCTCAGTGGTTCAGAGTGAACAAATGTCTCTTGTGGTTCCCTGCCAGGGTGACATCTGCATGCACCTGACCAATTATGCAATCAACAAACACAATGAGAACTTTGTCAAGGATGACATGGTGGGCAGCAAGAGGTACTGGCATGTCCAAGCACTGCAAGAACACTGCCTGGGGACACTGGTTTACCTCAGCTTTCCTGAGGTGACACAGCTAAGCCCTTGCCACCTCCTGTTCCCCACACAGGAAGCTGTCCACTCTGAATGCCTGGATGGCAGAGCACAGCTATGACACATCAAAGCTCTGGGCAGATATTGATGACATTGTTATCAAGACACTGATTTCGGCTCACCCTGTGCTGAAACACCATTACCAGAGCTGCTTCTCCAGCCACCCTACTGGCTGCGCCTGCTTTGAAATCCTGGGCTTTGATATTTTGCTGGATAGAAGGCTGAAGCCATGGCTGCTGGAGGTGAGGAAGGAGTGGATAGCTCAGAGCTGGGGGACTAGGACAAGGGGTTTGGGATGAACAGGGCTTGTTTGATTCAAAAGGGCCACCTTGCTCACAGAATTAACCAGGCTTTGAAGCCTGTTGTGAGCAGGATCCAAGAGAACCCATTTCCTGCACACCATCTAACAACAGGGAGTTTCCCAAGCCTTCAGACCCCTTGTCCTGTGAGCACCCTGAATTTGTGACAGCTGCCCCATGCCTGCACCCTGTGGGGTGGCATCCAGGTGACCTGTGGCACAAGTGGGCAACACCCTGCAGGAGAGAGTGCTGTGTGTGGCTTCCTGCTTCCTGTCTCTGACACAGAGAGAAGCATCCATGGGCAGTGTGGGGCGTGGCAGGGGTCATGGGCTGGGAGCTGGGGTGCCAGGTTAGGCTACCTGCTTGTCTTGCCAGGTGAACCACTCTCCCAGCTTCAACACAGATTCTCAGCTAGACCATGAGGTGAAGGATGCCCTTCTGTGTGACACCCTCAACCTGATCAATGTGCACGCCTGCGACAGAAAGAAGGTGCTGGAGGAAGACAAGCGGCGGGTAAAGGAACGGCTCCTTCAGGCCAATCAGATTCCCCGTGAGTCCAGGTATTGCTGTTCTCCCACAGTGCTGCAGGTGCCCAGTGAGCAAAGACAGGGCATGACAGAGCAGGATAACACCAGGGCTGGCTGCTGGAAGCTCCCAGAGCCCATGGCATTGTGCAGCCTCTGAGCTCTCTCAAGCCATCTGCATCCTGCAAGGAGGAGCCGGGTCTCCTCTCTGGGTGTCAGGAGACCTGTGACACCTTGTGCTCTGCCCTGACAGAGCTCTCCCCAAGCTGAATCTGCTTGTCTTCTCTTTTGCTGGGGATGGGCAGTGCCAGCATCCTGGGCTGGCAGGGATGCTCACATGAGGAACCACAGCCCTGCCTCAGGAACTGGGGGTAGCCTGGGCATGGGCCCTTCTCCAGGGCAGGGGTCCTTTTGAGGGCTGAGGGTTTCCCCTTCCTCTGTCTGCATGTCCTTTCACAAGCCCGTGTTCAGTGAGCCTGTTGCCTTGCAGGCAGGGCACGGCTCTCTCCAGCTGTTGTTTCTATCAGGAGTCCTGGGACATGCTGAGCACATCAGTCCTGCACTCTGCCTGTCCCAGAGCCTCCCTCCACAGTTCCCCGTCTTCCCTCCTGCTGCAGGCGCAGGGAGCAGGAGAGCAGCCAGGCTGCCTGGCTGGCACAGGCTGAAGCCTATGAGAACGAGCACCTGGGGGGGTTCCGACGCATCTACCCAGCTCCTGGGACAGAGAAGTATGAGCCCTTCTTCCAGCAGAGCAGGTCCATCTTCCAGGAAACAGTAGCATCCAAGGCACGAGAAGAGTATGCCAGGTACGGTGCTCCTGTGGAAACCCACTTCTCACAGGTGCCATGGAGACCACTCGCTCCTCATCCCTCCTGGGGAGCAACTCTGCTGCTTGGCAGGTGTAAGAAAGCGGGGAGAGCGGGAGGGGAAAGGAAGGAGCCTGCATGTGCTGTGGCTCCTCAGCAAAGTGGCTCCTTTTAGATGGACTCCAGAGAGGCAAGAGCAGTACTCTGTTGACTTTTGGACCTTGGAGGCACCATTTCCCAAATGTCTCCCTCCCTTTTGGCAGGCACAGCCTTATCCATGGGCATTTCTCTTTTAAAAAGTCTCTTTACAAGCATCCCATCCCATCTCGTGGCACACTTCTGTTGTGGGCTATTCATACAGAACTTTGGCCTGCAGTAAATGTCCTCAGGTTGAAGTCTGCCCCACAGCCTTTTGCTACTGTGGCTCTGAGCCAGTATGTGACTCCACTGTTCTGTGGCAGGCAGCAGCTGGAGGTGATGCGCCTGAAAAATGAAAAGCTGGAAGCTGCCATCAGGAAGAAGAAAACAGAAAGAATGCAGAATAGAAGCACAGCTCCTACAATCCACCTCACCCACAGAAGCACTAAGGCATGGGATGGAAAGGTACCTCAGTGTCAGCATTGTCCGTGGGTTCTCCAAGTCAGTGACATGGCTCTGGGGGCTATGCTGAGCCATTGGTGCACCCATGGAGCAGAAATTCCAGGTTTGACTGCCTGCGTGAAGTTCAGAGTCAACAACTTGTGTTGGCAGTACTTGCAAGCACCAATGTTTTGCCCTTCCACTTTGTCTCTCACTGGGGTCTCTGTCCCACTCTGAGACTCTAACTGTCCCCAGGCTTGGAGCAGCTCATGGTTTTGTCTCTCCTGTGCATTATGCCAGCTTCAGCTTTGCTATAGCTCAGATGTTTCTCTGCCGAGGTGCAGCGCAGGCAGTACAACTCCATGCAGCCCCAGGACATTGTGGAACATGAAGAGAAGAGGAGAGTGAATGCTCTGCTGCAGCGTGAGAAGCTGATCCGACACCTGGGCATCACCGAGCAGCTTTCCCGGCTGCTCCCCACAGCTGACACCCAGGGATCCTGTGTGCTCCAGAAACAGGTAATGGCCCTGCCCCGAGCCACCCCTCACAGAAGTGAATTGGGCACTGAGCATCTCTGCTGGGGTCTGATCGGGGTCTGCTGCAGGCGGATCAGCTGCTGTGCCTGCAGGACAATGTGAGTCTGGAATGGTGGTGGGGGCATCCTGGGGACAAAGTGCAGGGTAATGCTTTAGTGAGCGCCTGGGCGTGACTAGAGGAGACTCTTCCTTCCTATGACCTGCCAAGGCCTACAGAAGTAAGCCATGGCCATTTTCTTTCCCTCCTTCCAGCTGCAGTTTCCCTGGGATCTCCTCAGGGACCACAACACCCACGATTTAATGATGCTTATCTCACTCCTGGGAGTCCCAGCTCAGCCCTTGGGACACAGGATCATGCCCAGCCCTAGAGCCCAGGCCCTGCCACGGCACACCCCAGGCCCAGATCCCAACGACATCAAGACCCTGTGCATTCAAGGCCGGAGTGTCCCATACCACGCGCGGCAGGAGGGCCCCCGGGCAGCAGCCACCCAGCCCTGTGCCCAACCTAAGGGGCTGCAGCTGTGTGACCAGCAGCTCCCTGCCATTGGAACCCAGGCTGAAGGCTGTAAGTACGGATCACCTTCCTGTGGGATGCTCCTGGCCTTGATGGGAGGAATGGATGAGCTCAGTGGAGGTCTCAGGGATGCTGAGACACTGCAGAGGGGTTGCCTTGCTCTGCTTGGGGCACTGGTAACCACTAGGAGTCTCTGTCTAAGGCCATTTGCAGGGACAGGGAAGAGCCGTGAGTGGTTTCCAAGGATTAAGGGCTGATGTGCAGGCATGGGGGAGTGTGAGAAGCCAGGAAAGTCAAAGGGGTGAATTAGCTCCTGGGGGTCAGAGGGGACATGGTGACACAGCACCACTCTCTTCCCAGGCCTTCCTCCCACCACACTTCTCCCTACCCTACTTCACCCAGCCCTGCATCTTGGCATCGGCTTCATCCGCTTTGCAGCCTTAGGACCAGGGGAGCAGGGGCTGCCAGCATCAAGTCCCCCTGGGAAGGGCAGTGGGAGCTGCTGGCTCTGCACAGCCCCACATCTGTCTGTGCTGTTCCAGATGATGTCGGTAGTCTGTCATCCTCTGATGAAGGCAGCTGTCCCCCGGCTTCCCCAGCCAGCCCAGGGCAGGGTGATGGCATCTTCCACTGCGCTGTGGTCCCGGAGCTTCCCATCACCACTGCCGTTCACGCGCAGCATACACGTGGCTCACATCATGGCAGAGCCTCGCAATGCCAGTGCGTCACACCACGCCAGGACCTCACCCCATGCCAGTGCCTCACGCATTCACAGCATGAAAAGCACAGGTAACATGGCTGAGGGCTCAGCCTTCCTCCCATGCGTGCTTGGACCAGGACTTGCTGGATAAGCTGGCTGCCTCCATCAACTCTGGGGTCGGCTGCCGAGCCCCCTGACCAGAGCCTGGGCCCAGCACGGCTCCGGCCATCTGCCCCGACTAGCTTCACCTCTGCCAGGACCGGAGACTGGTACTTGTGCCTCTGTCCGTGCCCCGCCCGCTGCACTCGTGTCTGTGACCCGCAACCGCCTGCACAGAATCCCTGCAGAGGCCAGCTCGCTCTGGACCCGCCGGGCCCTCGCTTCCCCCGCCGGGGCCGCTCCCCGCCCCGCCGGCCCCGCCCGTTCCCGGGCCCGTCCCTGCCATGGCGGTGCTGCTCCAGCGCGGGCTGCGGCCGGTCCCGCTCCTCGCTTGGGCCCCGCGGCGGGCGGCGGCGGCGTGGCCCGGGGACCCGAAGCCGCCGGAGCCGGCGCTGGAGGAGCCGGAGAGGTGCGGAGCGGTCGGCCCGCGGTCGGGGCCTGCGCTGGCCCGGGCGCTCACGCGTGTTCCCCGCAGGGCTCGGCGGCGGCGGGCGGCGGCGCGGATGGAGCGGCTGCGGCGGGAGCTGGGCGGGGGCCGCAGAGCCCCCGATCGCACCCTGACCTGGCAGGCGATGGAGCAGCTGCGGTGAGCGCGGGGCCGGGCGGGCCGCGCCGCGCCCGGTGACCGCCCCGGTGACCGTGACCGTGCCCGCAGGTTCCTGCGGCAGGAGCTACCCGAGGAGTGGCCTCTGGAGCGCCTGGCCCAGGGCTTTGGCGTCGGCACCGACGTGGTGCGGCGGGTGCTGCGGAGCCGCGGCTGCCCCTCACCGCGCCGCC